TTTGTGGCAGTTCAGATTTGAATATAGATCTCAGTCGATTATATTCTACAATGGCTCTCGAGTTTGCTTTAACTGATGCTGGATTGAAATTTATCAAATGTAGGCCTTCCAATTTACTTACTCGTGACAAACCTACATAGGCTTGACCATCACTGAATACAGTCGTTCCTAAATCCATCATTGCATTGTTACATGTAATTCCTTCGATTATAAATAATTCGACATTCTTTAATTTGTCTCTCAAAGTTTTCAAGACCATGTCTGACAATTGCGTATATTTTGGTGTAGATTCATGACTAACCGGTAGTTGAAACATTCTATGGATTGTCAAGCCATCGATATTGAATGCTGCGATACCCGTGGGAGCAGATATGGCAGTCGTTTTTTCCAAATTTATTCTGATCCAATGTTTAATCGTTTCAATTAGAAAACTTTTCCCTGTACCACCCTCGCCACTTACGTACAGTCGCAGAATCTGATTCTTATCTTGTAAAACTTGGCATACTCCATCAAAGACTCTTTTCTGGTCTTTGTTCAATTGCGACATCATTTGCGATAAATCAATCGGGTCGTCAATCTTACCAAAATCTTCCAGATCTTTCATCGCGTCGTCAGCTTCTATCGGATTACAATCCAGTTCATCGTCATCGGATTTGTCTCTGTCTGCTGTTTTCAGATCATTTTCGCGCTTCTCGATTAATTCAGCAACGTTCTCAAAAGCTTTCTGTATTTCTTCGAGCCTTTCGTGATATTTCATTGCCTTCGTTAAAACAGACTCTGAATTCTTAAAGGCATCCGTGTAAGTCTCGAATGTACCTTTGAGTTCACTCAAATCTCTCCATGGTTTGAACAGAAGAAGCAGCGAGTAAAAGTATTTTTCGGGCTCAGTTTTTATATTAAATCGATAATGGTTAATTAAATAACCCTTTTTTCGTTTTTTTAAAAATAAACCCGATGCCAGTTTGTAACACTTGACTTCGTCATTATTTGACATCTGTTTCGTAATTTCCCAGAATCTGGCAAAATCGTACAAATTCAATGATTCTAATTCCTGAGGTCTATTTGGATAGTAATCATCGATGAGTGACGAACAGTAAATATTCGTAGAATTTTCATCAAGAGCTTAAATTTCATTAAATGTTTTAACTTTTCTATTTCTCACCTCATTAACATCGATCCATTTGACCATGGTATCATTATCCGTACCGTACAAGGGATTCCCTAATAGTGTATCCGCAGCTTCTAAAGCACCGCATTCTCTGTTATTTAATGAACGCATTGCAAAATTCCACAGTTTCGATGCCAAGGACTTATTCGAATCTATCACTTCAAAGTCTGTATTGCATTTTTCCGACTTTGTCGTGTATTTTGTTAAATATGAGTTTAAAAACTCTGATTTTTCTCTAATAAATTGTATGTCCATATTTCCCTTCCAGGCTAATTTGATAGACGGATTATAATCATTTATAAACCTTTCCGACTCCTTGCGAGGAAGATCGTACAATCTGCTCTTACTGCGTAAATTTTTTCTACCGACTATCGAAGTGATAACGTCTCTTAAAACGAAATTCTCAGTAACTGGCCGAGGAAAATCGAACCGACACTTTCTGTATATATTAGTTTCCGTTTTTTTCGTACGCATGCAATACGAGTTATGTTTATGATTCTGATCACTTATTACCGTATCGTACAACGTTGGCGAAACATTTTCATCTGGAATTTCACACGTTACGTATTTTTGAATAAACGTAGCAACTTCTTCATCCGGCGATTTTCCTAATACTGGAGCATCTTTTATCCAAATCATACAATGCATGTGCTGGATACTTCTACGTTGATATTCCAGTCGCCAGAAGTAATGAATAACCTTTCCTATTGGATTATCGGACGAACAAATAAAATCAATCATGGCTTTGAATTTTATGCACATGAATCTAGAAGTACTTACAGGATCGTATGCGATTAGTTCGCTGATGCCTAACTTCTCTTTATCGGGATTCATATCTCGTAAATATTCACCCAAATCGGACCATTTCCATTCACTAGGACTCAAAGTCAAAAACCACGTCGCTGGACCGTAATGCAAAGTCATGCATTTTACATTATTGGACGGTTGTCGCCAAAATTGATCCGTATTTCTCAATTTTGCGAAAATACTCATTAAATTCGATTCTAATTGGTAACCTTTCAATTCGTTCAAGTATCTACCAGCAGTGTATCTCTCTCGTGGGTTAGTAACCATCATCGTATAATAGATACCACTTTTCAACTGTCGGTAGTTAGCATCATTGAGAAGGAAGAACAGATACTGCAGATTCAACCTGAATCTACTATGTTTCGACATCAATCGTGTTCTAATAAATAAATATTCCGGCAATGCAAAGTTTCTATCTTCTCGTTGTCCATTGACACCATCAGGATATAAATCAGGGAAACACATGACATCCAGATATTTATAACGATTATCCATTGGAAAATCTTCAATTTTCACCATTTGATAAAGCTTCAATGCAGATTCGTTATCGATTCTTTTCGCGTGTATTGGGTATATTGTATACTGATCGTTAATATCCGAATGTTCAGTGATTTGTGTGAGAAAAGCCGTACGTTTTAAAACGGTTTGATCATTATTATTTTTGTTTTGCTGTACATTGTACAAATTCAATGCTGGTAATTCCTCAACCACCTCATTTATTTCGTCATTGTCGCTTTCCTCATCGACAATCCTATATTCTGTTTCCTGCAACTTATCCTTTAATAGATCATCAGATGACGCTGGAAGACGAATTTTTGAGTAATGAGGATTATTTTCTTTCAACCATTGTAAAGCCTTATACATTTTATTAATATCTACCAAATTTTCCCAAACCACTTTAGATTTCTTGGGTATACCTCGAACGAGAATGTGCAACTCGTGATTCAAATTTATAGGATCTTCCGGAGGACATACCTTATCCAATGTTTCTTGTAAAGGCAGAGGCAAATGAAATGTTCTACCTTTTCCTAAACAGAGTTCGATTATATAAGTTTCTTGATTTAAAATGTGCTATATTTAAATCATTTAATTATTTTTTTCGTTCAAGTACAATTAACAGCAAAAACTGCATATACGTAGGTATGTATTTGACTCTACTGCCATTACTTGAAACAAATACATTATTCGATATTAACAAATTGGAACTCTGGAATTACGAGTAATTATTTTTCATTGTACAGACTAGGTTTAAATTTTTGAGGACCTTCTTTTGAACATGGCTTGACCTTTTCATTTTTATGATTTTTTGGAGATAGGGTGAGAGAGGACGAATGAGGGTAAGAGAAGACGAGATAGGCGAAAGAGGGTGAGAGAGAGGACGAAAGAGGGTGAAAGAGGACGAAAGAGGGTGAAAGAGGACGAAAGGGGTGTGAGAGGGAATGAAAGAGGGTGAAAGAGGGTGAGAGAGAATGAAAGAGAGTGAAAGAGGTCGAAAGAAGGTGAGAGGCGAAAGAGGGTGAAAGAGGGTGAAAAAGGGTAGAGAGGACGAAAGAGGGTGAGAGAGGACAAAGAGGGTGAAAAAAGGCGAAAGAGGTGTGGAGTGGGGGTGGAGGTGGGGTGGGGGGTGGGAATGGGATGTGGGAGGGAAAGGGTGGGTGGAAGTTTGAGGGAGTGTGAGTGAAAGGTGAGAAGAGATTTATACCGGAAAGAAGAAGAAGAAGAGAAGAAGAAAGAAGAAGAAGAAGAAGAAGACGACGTTACTTCATTTTTCATGAAAATCGTCACTTTTTGACCGCTTGTATCTCCAGAACGGCTTGACCGATTTTATTTTTTCTTGGCTCAAATTACTCGTGGCGATGCCGCCTTTCAGGTTATATTACGTGCAATTCAAAATTTTTTATATTTTAGTAGTTCTACACCCCCAAAAAATGGACTTTGATGGTGCAGGATAAGGAGACTTGTAGTGTCTTTTAAGGTCTTTTAGGGTTTGAACATGGCCGGAGACACTACCGCGTCTCCTGATATAGGGTGTCCGGTAATTGTCGCCTCAACCATCATGTGCAGATAAAGTGAATTAAACCGAATAGGAAAGTCCTCTACCGTTTTGCGATTTTCGCAATAATTATTGAGTTATTAAGTAAAAAAGATCGGCCAATCCACGCGAATAGAAGCGCGCGACGAGAAGAGACGTCCTACTGTAACACGATACACGGCGCGCCGCAAAGCGGAAGGAGCGAATGATATGGAACGCCGTTTTGCTATTTATTCAATATAGCAAAAGTCTAAAGAAAAAATTATTTAATAGTAATATGGCTCACCGTATAGGTGTAAAAATTGCTACTTACACAAATTCGACTTAAATTTTAAACAATAAATAATACAAATTTTATTAAAATATTTTTAATGTGTAAATAATCTAGTTTTATTTTTATTAATACTTCGACATATAAAAGTAACTACTAATATAACGTAAATATTTACTAAATAAAAAAATTTTTTACGATATTTTATTTTAGCATTTCAGAAGCAAATGTAAAAATAAGTTTCTGAGAATATCTTAATATATTGCAACGTTTTTTATATTATTAATTTTTGCAATACGTAGAGCATTGCAAAAAATTGATAATTGCAATAATTGTAGATATTGGCATATAAAATCCTTTTGTATTGCAAAAATTGTTTATTTTTTTCAATCATTAAAGTATTACAAAAATTAACTATTTTTTACATTTGTCATTTCATTGTAAAAATTAATTTTATTAAATATCAGTATTTTTTGAAATTATCGCTATAATGTAAAAAAAATACTACTTTTATACAATCATCGTTGAATTGAATAAATATTTTACGCAACAGTCGTGTATTGCTTAAATTGTGGTATCACTGTTACAATAAATAAGTTCCCTAGGCTTTAGTTGGTATCACTGTTGCAATAAATAAGTTCCCTAGGCATTAGTTGGCTACACTAGTCAGCGTTGGCGGGATTGTTATACATATGTATATATATATATATATATATATATATATATTTATTTATAACCTTTTTCCTTCTTCGCACATGTGTCAAAGTGTCAACACAGTCTTCTCTCTGTCAACATACACGTTTATAGTTTACTTAATTTGTAAACAAAAATGAATAGAAATTTAAATGACGTTCTTCTTATTATTGAGAGTATCAGATTGATTGAAAATGAGGAGTTTTCTGCAGCTGCACAAATAATTTTGGAAGGCAGAAACAACTTGCTAAGAATTCGTAATGTGATAAGTGATGATACATTCAATACTCTAAATAATAGTTGCGATAATTTAAAACAAATATGTGATAACTGCAATCAAAATATCAATAACAGCAGCAGATCTTATGTTGCGCCAAGATTAAATAATTTAGGTAAGTTTAGTACTTAAAATAATAATAGTATTAATATAATAGCATTCTTATATATAAACATTGTTTTCTAGGTAGAGGAAGATCCAAAGTCCATATAACTAGAGAACAGTTAGAATTTTTAATACAAGAAAATTATACTGCAAAAGAAATGGCTAAGCATTTCGGTTGTTCTACAAAGCTAGTATATAAAAAATGTTATTCATTCGGTATTAAAATACGAAATAAGTATTATAATGGTAGTGACGCAGAATTGAATCGGGAGATTTCGGATTTACATGCTCAATATCCTAATAGCGGGAGTAATGTATGTTTTTGTTTACAGTTTTAAACTTTTAATTTTAAACTATTTTACGATAGTATTTTACTATTTTGAGCAGATGATAACAGCTTACTTAAAAGTTAAAGGAAAAATAATTCAAAGGCAAAGGGTTAGAAGGATATTAGCCGAAATTGATCCTATTGGTACTGCTTGTAGATGGAGTAATGCGATACATCGCAGAACATATAAAGTGCCAACACCCAATTCTTTAAGGCATATTGATGCGAATTTAAAGCTGATACGGTATAAAAAAACTTGAAACAGTTTGTATTAAAAACTTAATTTTGTTGCTTAAAATTTTATTTCATTTAGATGGCGATTTGCTATTCATGGATGTATAGACGGATATTCACGATTAATTATATACTTAAAGTGCACTACTTCAATGACAGCCAGCACAGTAATTCCATTTTTTGCTACCGGCGCAGTACAATATGGCTTACCATCCAGAGTAAGATCAGATTTTGGATATGAAAACTTATTTGTTGCAATGGTTATGAATGCTATTCATGGACTAAACAGAGGAAGTCATTTGACGGGTCGTTCGGTGCATAATCGTAAAACGTATAGAGAGATTATGGGTAGACGTATATAAAGAAGTGGGCGATTTTTTTCATAATGAATTTACTATGTTAGAAGAAGATAGATTATTAGATATTAATAACGAAAAACATATATTTGCATTACAAGTTTATTTAACATATATAAATAAAAATTGGATGATTTTACACAAGCGTGGAATTTTCATAAGTTAAGAACGGAACGAAATAGAACTCCTAGGCAACTTTGGTTGTCTGGTATGCTAAAAAATGTCAATAGTGAACATACTGCTGTCCGTGAAATTTTTCAGAACCAACCTCACTTATACAATAGAGTTATTGATGCTTTTGGAATAGATGACTTAGATATTGTGATTATTAATCATGATGAAGAAAGCAATTCTAATTTAACTGTTCAATTAGAATTTAGTGAAGAGCGAATGAATTATATAATTAATATATTAAATGATATGATTATAAGTCTAAGTATTTGCAAATAGTAACATATTTAAATACTTTAAATGAAATAATTAATTAAATAAAACAATTATATTAAATACTTCTTTCCACATATACATATAAGTTTTTAAGTAATAAAATTAAAATTTTTTCTTTTTTACATATATTGTATGATTATAACAAGCTGAAGATACATATGTAGTGTTAAAATTATAGTTAAACTTATAGTATAAACTCAATATTATAAGAGATTATATATAAACTTATGTGATGTATGTATTAAAAAATTATAGTAATATAAACTTAATATTGTAAACTAGTTTCAAATAATATCTAAAAATTCTTGTATTAAATATTTTATAAGTTTTTAAAAATAAAATTTGAGTTTGAATATTATTCAATTCTTCTGAAATTGTTTTTAGAATAGTTGCAACTTTATCTGGATTAGCAACCTCTCTTAAATAGAAAATGCACTTCAGAATTAAATTTTGTTCAACTCTTCTAACAGTTACAACTTTATCTGAACTAGCAACTTGTTCTTTAAAACACAAAAATCATTTTAGAATGTATTAAATTTATAAAATATGTTTCACATAATATATATATACATAATATATAATAGGTTTCTATCTTGAAAATGTATAATATATACAACGTGAAATAAAATGTGATTTATTTAAATAATAATAAAAATAAATAATAATTTGAACGATGTTCTTTTCATTATTGACAGAATAAAGACCCAACTCAACTCATTTTTATCGATAAATGTTCTTTTAAGCAAATTTATATTTATATGTATGTTTTATATAGTATCATATGCTTAAAACCCCCTTTATTGATAAAAATAAACTAAGAACATGGGTCTTAGAATCTATTAAACTGATTAAAAATAAAGAATTTTTGCAGCATAAATAATTTTTGAAAATAGAACTTGAGGATTCATAGTATGATTAACGATGATACATTTAATATTGTGAACAATAATTTTGATAGATAGAAATAATATCTTATTATAATCATAATCGAAATATTATCAATAGAGCAGAAGCAGACATATGTTATTGCAACGAGTTTAAATAATTTGGTTAATAGTATTTTAACGGAATACATCTTGCTTATTATTATAATTACTTTTAGTAAATTTATAAAAATATACTTTTTAAAATTAATATTTTATATATTAAATTATATATTTTATACTTATATAAAGATAAAACATATATTAAAAAATATTATAAAAATATACTTTTGCAATATACTTTTATAAAAAAGTATACTGAAAGGAATATTCATTTTCTAAAACTGAATCAAAATGAATTTTCAATTCTTGATAAGAAGAATAAGTTGTTGACAATTCCAGGGTATTCGAACATGTATGGGCTACAGGATAACCCGATGTTTTAAAACTTACAATTATTTTATCAGGCAAGTGTAGCGATGCAGTTACAAAGATTAAAAATTTTGAAAGATTTTCTTGTGTCAAATTTTTTATATATGTTTTGAGAAAGTAAAAGACTCGAGTTTGAATATTATTCAATTCTTCTGGATCAGCCTTTAGAACTGTTACAACTTTATTAGAATTAGCAACTTGTTGTTCAAATATAAAATTTAATTTAGAATCAGTTAAAGTTGTAAAAAAATTTTCACAAAATAATGGGATTCCATCTTTCATCTTTTTAATAAAATTATGACTTTCTATGCATAAAACGTTTACTGCTATAATGCTGTAACGGTTCACCTTTCCTGACGCCGCGGATCGGCTCGCCGGTTCCAGGATTCGGGAGGAAGGGGGAGATTCAGACTCGCTTATTCCTTATTAACAATGCTTTGGTTTATTCAAAAAGAAACAAGTAAACAAAATGTTCGTTGGCATAAAGCCTGAATAGAGAAACTTATTGACTACCCGGTATAAACAAAATACGGAGGCGTATAGCCTGTAGCGGTGTCCGGAAAAGACTTACAAATTACCCGGTATAACTTAGAGATACGGTGTACGGAGGCGTATAGCCTGTAGCGGTGTCCGGAAAGGACTTACAGGTCACCCGGTATGCGAAATCTGGAGATCGAACGTACTGAGGCATATAGCCTATATCGGTGTCCGGAAACCGGGAAGCCCGGCGTAACGACGAGAAGCCCGTCGCCCGGAAGTTAGCAGGAGGAACCGGAAACCGGGAAACCCGGCGTAACGACGAGAAGCCCGTCGCCCGGCGTGTAACAGGAGGAGACCGGAAACCGGGAAACCCGGCGTAATGACGAGAAACCCGTCACCCGGTGTATAGCAGGAAGAGACCGGAAACCGGGAAACCCGGCGTAACAACGAGAAACCCGTTGCCCGATACTAAAGGTAGGAGGCCAGAAACCGAGAAACCCGGCGTAACAACGAGAAGCCCGTTGCCTGGCTAGGAGGTCCGGAACAGGACTGGTGCCGGCTCATCCGTCGAGCCGGCTTATATACCCTGCGGGCGGTTCCCCCACTCTGCATCGAGGCTGTGGTGGGGGTAACGTGCCGGCGTCGTAGTGGGGCGCCTCTGGGGGTTGTAGTGGGGCGCCCCTGGGGTAGGGTGACCCGTGTATCACTTTGTGTTTTAGGGGCGCCTTAGGCGCCATAGCCTCGAGTGGCGGGCGGGTGATCGGCCCGCGAGGCGTTAGTAACGGCCACGCCGTTACAATGCTAAGCTGATCTTTTATTTCTGAATTTTTTGGATTTTCTAAAAGTCCGTAAGTCGCAAACAGGTCTAATAATATATCTTTTTCAGAATCGTTTAAGTCTTCAAAAGAATTCTTTGCTTTGTATATTAATTTTTGTTCCACTGGTGTTAAATAATGAAAAAGATCTTTTAATAACATGTCTTGCTTTACTTCTTTATCTAGCGAACCTAATTTTAAATATACGGATTTACATATATTTGTGGGAATTGATTTTGTTAAAATAATGGTATGAGCTAAAATTCTACCAATGATTGGAAAATTTTCATCTAAACCTTTTCTTATTTTTGATAAAGATAAGTAAGGTACTGACCAATTCTCTCCTCTAAAGAATTCAAGTATAATTTTTTTCCAAAACTCGGAAAATAATTCTTTTGTTAAGCCACCATAGTCTAATCCTAATTCATCTTTAAAAGCAACTTTGATCTGTTTCTGTACTATTGTTTCATCTTTATATAAGCTCAGCATTTCTTCGATAATATTTTCTCTTGTGATTATAATATCTATACTTATTTCTTCATTAGGTAAATCAGGATACTCAATTTCATCAGTAAGTTCTTGGTTTGCTTCTGGAATATATGAGAAATTGTCCAAATCCAATGAATCTGAAACAAATACATTTGTAAGAGAAAGAAACTTGGCAGTACTTGTTAATATGGCTCTTGCACATAGGACACAAAAACACTTGCCGCGCGATAAAAAAACAATGCGATAATTATCATGCGATATTAATCATTATTCGTTTTTATAGAAAAATAATTATTATAGAAAATTAAAAAATTATTATAGAAAAATTTCTTACAATTTAATTAAAGCTTTATTTGTATAATAAAAAAATTCAACTTGCTATTTTAATTTTTATTTATATATTTGTCAAATAATTAACAACTTACTTAAATTTTGATCATTTTGATCATTTTGATAAGATATTCTTCTGTTGATTAATCTGCTCTCATTCTGAACATCTTGAAAATCATCAGATCCATCGTTATTTTGTTGTAATCGAGAATTTATATCTACAGACTCTCTTATAATTCGTCTATTTCTCGTATTGTAATCCTGCATGTCTTGATAATTATCATCAGATTCATTATTGCTTGATTCTTGTCTAGAGTTTGCTTGTGTTTGTAAAGAGTGTCTTCTGATAGTAAGTCTATTGTGTCTGTTATATCTTAACTCTTCCATCGATGAAAACTCTTCTATCGATGATCTTTCGTATGAAGTATCAATATTTGCATCGTTTGTATGATCAGAAAAACAAGACAAATCTCTATTTGGGATAATAATAATTGTTCCTCTAGGCACTTCATTCAGTAATTCTTCAAGTGTATCCACTGCTAACAATGTAATTCTCTTGTCTCTGGCGCATTTGCCAAAACGAAATCCAACTGATTCTAATTGTACTTTTGAATAAATTTCACAAATATATCTCTGGACTCTACTCATTGACCAATTGAGTTCAAATTCGATAATTTTTTTACCTGCCAATAATAAGAAATCTTCATGTTTATTATTAAAATAATCTTAAATAATCTTTAATAATAATAATTGTTTTAATTATTAATTATTAAATTAATTATTAAGTTTTTAATTTAAAATTATATTGTGTAATATCTTACCGAATCCATTTTCTTGTAAATAAGAACATTCAGTCACGCATGGATAATAATCTGCATTTGATCTGCGTAATAAGAAAAGAGTGAATTTTTTCACTGATTGTTTTGGCCGGCCTCTTGGACTTCTGATTGGACTTGGATAATCGAAATGGTCTAAAATTTTCTCTGGTAGCTTGCATAATTTGAGATCGTTCTTGTCGAATAGCCCCTCTTACTGAATTTGCAATAGTTGATAATGCAAATTCATCTCGACTATTCATCTGAGACATAATACAAATATTTAACTTATATATTATATTATTCAGAAGCATAGATATTGCTATGCATAGCATAAATATCCATATATCACACCTCA